CAGCAACATCATTTCTTCCATCCCTTCCCTTCCAGCAACACCATCCATACCATTTCTTGCAGCAACACCATCCACATTACTTGTTGCAGCAACACAATTCTCTCAATCCGTTGCAGCAACATCATTCCTTCCATCTCTTCCAGCAACACCATCCACACCATCCACACCATCCACACCATCCATATTATTGCTTGCAGCAACACCATCCACACCATTTCTTGCAGCAATACCACCCTCCCAATCCGTTGCAGCAACATCATTATTTCCATCCCTTCCAGCAACACCATCCATACCATTTCTTGCAGCAACACCATCCACATTACTTGTTGCAGCAACACAATTCTCTCAATCCGTTACAGCAATACCATCCTCTCAGTCCGTTGCAGCAACATTATTCCTTCCATCTCTTGCAGCAACACCATCCACACCATTTCTTGCACCAACACAATCATCTCAATCCGTTGCAGCAAAACCTCCCTCATCCGTTGCAACAACACCATCCACACCATTTCTTGCAGCAAAACAATTCTCTCAATCCGTTGCAGCAACATCATTTCTTCCATCCCTTCCCTTCCAGCAACACCATCCATACCATTTCTTGCAGCAACACCATCCACATTACTTGTTGCAGCAACACAATTCTCTCAATCCGTTGCAGCAACATCATTCCTTCCATCTCTTCCAGCAACACCATCCACACCATCCACACCATCCACACCATCCATATTATTGCTTGCAGCAACACCATCCACACCATTTCTTGCAGCAATACCACCCTCCCAATCCGTTGCAGCAACATCATTATTTCCATCCCTTCCAGCAACACCATCCACAAAATCCACACCATCCACACCATCCACACCATCCATACCATTTCTTGCAGCAACATAATTCTCTCAATCCGTTGCAGCAACACCTTCTCCATCCGTTGCAGCAACACCACCAACACCATTTGTTGCAGAAACACCATCCTCTCAATGCTGACCACCCATAGCATTTCTTGCAGTATCTGTGCGCAACACAGAAACACCATTATCTTAATCCCTTGTAGCCACATTGCACGCCAAAACTGTACTATCAGCAAACCCATCAATTCATAACCAGAGACAGGGTGTAATGATGCGTGGGTATGTAGCAATTGCGATTTTTGAAGAGGTTATTGTAGCAGTGCCGCTACAGTAATCCTACAACAACTCTCAAATTGCTTGGACTTCTTAGCAATATTATCTGACCCTATTTAGAAGTAGGGATGCACTTCCGGATTCTTACGCTAGTAGGAGGGTATTCGCAGGTTTCTTATGTTGTTCAGAATTCAAGGAAAGAATGATATAAAGATAATGATAACAATGATATAAAGAATATTATTGTGGTTGTTAATAAAAGAGTAATGATGAATTCATATAATATCTGTGCCATTATTTATCACATTTTCGGCTACAATAGGCTGCGCGTATAGTTTCCATACGTAAGCGCTCATCTCCATATCGGTTGCATGAAAGAATTTATCCAAGTGTCTTACGCATTTTCACTAATGCTAATCCGCTTAACCTACGATCCTCGGCCATTCCTACACGACATCGCTTTTGCGACATGCGCAGGTGCTCTTTCGCACTCATGTCGTAGAGACGGTGCCACACCGTATTTGCGCACCTGACTGTGATGTGTTACTGAAACTCAGATATTGCACCCTATTTGGCCGAGGATGTCCGAGTAGGGTACAAGTGCTTACGTGCCACTGAATGTGATGAAGAGCTCTTGTTGTGGAATGCAGCGGACATGGATGCTTATGAATGACATTCCAAAACTTTCGACTTCGATGTGGGTCTTTCTAGCAAATTCCCCGGATTCTGAATCATTCTCATTTTTTTCAAGAAAAATATTCACGATAACGTTTTTGGGAATTACTGCGGGCGGCAACCGGCCATATATTTCCCATCGGACGTACACACAGGTCTAATTTTACTGCCATAGAGTCCTGGCATTCACAGGACCATTTTTCAAGTGTGAGCACTAGTATTACTGAGTAGTGTGAGCACTAGCATCTACCATCTATAGCTACCGCCTCAGGCGGTAGCTATAGATGGTAGATGCTCTAGCGATGAATGAACGCGATGCCGCAGACCAATTAATGATTTGCAGCTCCTTTAATAAGCCATTCTTCCACGGTGCATGCTGTTTGGCTAAGACCAATATCTATAATTCATAGTTGTAGCTGATTCTGAAGAGTTTAATGGACATGTGAAGTTGCGCGATTGTGGGCACTTTGTTTGAGAAGGTCCTTGAGAATTACTAATTTCAAATCTCCGCTCAAGAAGGACCAATGCTGAGCCAATTGATAATATAATTTTCATACAGAGTATTGGGAATGAGCATAAGGTTTTGAATGGCTTAACGAGTGAATTACGAACTCGCTCGCACAGTTGGGAAACAAGCAATCATTATGGCAGGTGTTTCCTTTCTTTGGTCTTATGTTACGTATGCCGACGCGCCTAACCCAAATTAGCATCGATTATAGCAAAATATGCAGTTATCGCCCTTTGCCCTCTTCTGGGGAGGGGGGGGGGGGGAGGAGGAGGAGAGCGGAGTAATAGAAGCCAAGATATTTTACGGTGCTTACCTTCATTGGATTTAAAGTCAGCGTTCTCCAGCGTATCGTCAGTGACTCACCACCATGACTGCATGTCTAATGAATTCATAAATCACAGCGTCGTGCACGCGGAAATGAAGAGTCGCGTTTGATGATCGAACACGCTTAGAAATCAACGTCACGACAAAGCTTACCGACGTCGTCATGTCTGCTTGACGCTACACGCCAATCACCGCTGAACTGATTGATGATAGCTCTGCTTTTTCTTCAAAAGGGGTGGTGTAGGGCCAAGATGGATTCTTCGTGGGTGAGATTCTTGGAAAATTGCTACGACTTACTTTTACAGTATACAGGCGTGTAAATGCGTTACAGATTGTAACTGAACCCATCCCGTCCCATTTCCTTACAAAAAACAACTGCATTAGAACGCTACAGTGTCTGCTTTTTCAAGTTGATACAAACCCACCTACAGGGACAATTATATTTTGCCGCACCAGAAAACTTCTATAGCACTCAAAACAGCACGCGCTACCGTACTGTTTATACAGTAATTATAGCAAAGTAACTCGCTGATGTCGGTGTCTCTTTCATAATGAAACACTGCATTTATCGGTACGCTCCAGCAATTGCTGGTTATTATTGCTTTGTCGTGTGGTTGTCTACAAAAGTAGCGAGTGGGTAAGAGAAGGATTATAATGGATGGCAGCAGGGATTTCCCATTTTCCTATTATGACTGCGCGAGATAGCGTCTACCGTATCTCAGCGGCTCCAAGACTTCTTGCCGAGATTCACTATATTGTTATCTTCCGTAGTTGATTCCCTTCTTCATCGCAGAAGGTCACTAAAGGTGTATGTGTGTTCACGCCTGAATGGCTACGATAGATCTGTCACCAAATGATGTGAGTGCGAACCATCGCCAACAACATTGCTCGACTCATTCAGGAACAAAAGTTATTCGGAAGAGAGACAAGCTTCTTGAATTACTGAATGCGAATGTAGTGTGAGTGTCTGCAAGAGCTCGTGAACTGTTTCTAGCGTTTTTTTTTTTGAAGAAATTCGAATGTGACCTCTATGACCACGGTCCACTCGCACCGCTTTACAGTAGCGTGTGTGCAGTTTCTCACACATTCAAGTGACGGAAATGATCGTAATTATTCGCATACATGTTAGTAGCCTATTAAGATTGTGTAATAATGTAGCAGTGACCGTTGCGCAACGGGTGCTTTATAGAGGATTGCGTATCGATGTAGAGCTGCGTGACGCATTCTAGGGTCAGCATGGAGAGGGGGGAGGGAATGATAACGAATTAAATCAAAGGTTCATTCCACAATGAGTTTGAAGCTTCTAAGAATTAAAGATTTTGGAGACTCTTAATAATCTCCTCTTCTAGTAGTACTCATACTCAAGTCCTACACTGCATACCGCCCACGTTTCACAGCCATTTGTAGATAGAGCACAGTTTTCCAAAACATTTCCATCATTTCTCCATAGTTTTCTATTCTCACTGCATTTTACAGGGATTTAAATGTTATTTCACAGACACCCTTGCTCAAATTTCTCTTTCAGAGTGACCAGGAACAACGGCGAAATTTGAAGCACCACATCATCCAGATCTTCAAAGATGACGCCACTTTTCTGCTGTTAGTTCCTCTGCTGTTTTTTGATTTTTGTCCACCTGTTATAGCTTCAGTGCTTTCTATCTTTACCCATATGTCCTTATACGATGCCATACTCCCATAGAAGCGCATAAATGCGATGCGCGATCTCAGATTAACCTGTTTGCCAAGGCATCTCTCTCGAGCGAGTGTGAACCGCAATAAAATGTATATCTCTACCGCAAATATGAGGATTAAGCGTCTTGTCTACATCGTCAGGACAGTAGCAATAGTTGCTTGGTTGTTTGTACAGAGCAATCTACCAAGTCCACCAAACCCAATAAATAGCTGCGAACAACTGATTCTATTCCTTCACTCTATTCCTTATTCCTTATTCCTTCACTCTATCGTCTAATTATGGGGTAGCCATTAAGACTCGTTACTGCGGTCGCTCCGCTTCGCTGCGCATTCCTACGTTATAAGGAGTGCGCACGGGGAATCAGAAGCCTGTGAACAAAAGAAATCCATACAGTGGATGGAGCAGAAAGAACTGAATTACCTTCAAGTAGGGGGTCACGACATAACGCTGTGCAAATGCAATTTTTTCAAAAGCACACAAGCAAGCAGAACTTCCTCCGAATTTTTTGTTCTTGCTCTTGCTGGAGTCCCGGGTTATAAGTGCGCGGTTATCAACATCTATTCATCTACCGCTGTGGTTGCAATGCTTTTTCTATCGATATTTTGATGAACTATGGAAAAGCGGCACTTTATCTACGCGCGCGCTGCTCAACAACCATATGGCGTGGCCGCATTTAACAATGGGTTTCGCATTTTTTGATCTCGTCTGCGGACAGCAGATTGGCGAGAACAATGTGAGTGCATCTATCATGACGAGACATTTTAGGCTTGGAAAAATTATGCTGATTGGGAAAATGTCAAACCTTTACAAGACAGAGCCTGATATGCTCACCGATAAGGAAGAACATTGGGGGGGGGGCAGGGGAGAGAGAAGGTACGAAAGTGAAAAATTAAGAGAAAACTAAGCAATTTTGAGTTATGTGTGCATAAGGAGCTTTCGTATGCAACACTATGCTAAAATTAGTGGTGTCGACCTCCCGCGCTGTGGGGGCATTCAATCCACTGTAGGGTTAGTGTAGACTCGATATGGAAGAGTGGGGGTAACAAGTACGGAACTGCACCGTAGTACTTACATCACTGAAATGTTAGCATTGAAAAGGGGTCTCAAAGCAGTTAGAAAATCGGGACCAAAGTTCAGCGGCTACTTCAAAGCGAATGCCTCTTGCTGCCTCATGATGGGGCTGAAACTGGAAAACAATGACCCTGACGGGCGCTAATTGAGTTTACCACAGTTTAGGCCAAATCTGGGACTCTTCCGCTTTCTGCCTTGAAAAATATAACTTAGAGCTTACATGTTGCTTCTCCCTATGGTTAAAAGCAACGCCCAGATTCGACTTCCATGTTTTGATCGTTCCGGGCCTCCTCATGTCTCTGATTCCGAATATGAAGTCGAGGTTTCGCGAAAACCCCAACAACCCCGTTCCGGAAAACCCACAGGCCGGCTTTCCGGAACGTTGATTGGCTTTGCGCGCACGGATGGGCGGGCATGGATGGAGAGGGCGGTGCCGGTGCCGTCTGAGTCCATGTGCATCTTCGATATTGCGGAGCGATTTTCGCGCTTCCGAAGCGATATTTTGCGCCGCGACTTGGACATTGGCTTGATAGGGGGCCTTACTATCATATGCTGCCAAAAGCTCAAGACCCTCAACATAGAGTGGACGGTGCGTTTAACGACATATGACGCTCATCAGCTACACCCCGAACATCTGCGGGGCGCGGGTTCCCATACGGACCGCAGGTCTTCAAATTGCTGCACTTGGCGAACAAGCGATTAGTAAACTGTTTACATGTGGTAGTAAACGATTTTACTACCGTGATAAGCTCTACGCAGGCATTTGATAGCGTTTGAGCTGCCGCCGTAGCCACCATATGTGAACTGCGCGTATATTTTGCACAAAGAGAAGAAGAACTGGCTTGAGACATATTTCGCAAGCGTTTGCTTTGGCTGTCAAGGCTAACAACAGTGGGGGTTCTTCAAGTGCAAACATTTTATTCGGGAGGGCAGCGGACTTTTCCTTTCGTTGTTTCTCTTCGGTTTACGCCTAGTGTACTGTAGCCTAGAGTTCTAGCCGAATTCAGTCGGCTAGAACTCTAGGCTACCGTACGCTAGCCGTAAACCGAAAGTCGAGTGTATGTGATTTGATAGTTATGCCGTAGCCACCATAATGCCTTTGTCTCAAATCGTTCCGATCACGCTGATGTAGCACAAGCACGCAAGCTGTTAGGCAATTTGCTCATAAAAGATCAAAGCCATAAAAAGCCGATTGTCAGATGACAAAGGCATATAGTTACTGGTAATGAGCGATTTTTATGAGTTTTGACGCCATGGAAGGACAACAGGAGGATGTGTAGGTTTCAATGGGGCGGAGGTAACGATAATATTCAGGTTAGGGTAAAGGCGCAAACTCACCATCAATAATCGTTATATATGTAGTAATGTACATTAACGCTACCTGATATATCCTTAGGCGTACTGTAGCAATGCCATATAGGATCATCTCCCGCCACAAGCTGTTTGCCTGTCCTATGACGAACAGCGCCTATCCATCTGTGTGCTGATAGCAGATGATGACGGCTGAGGATCAATTTTTAGTGGAGGCTAAAAGCCACTTGACCGCTTTGCGACACTAAAGCCATCAAGATAGTCACTAAACATGTTTAATCTAGTCGTGCAACTATAGGGCTTGGTTCGCGACGGGTATGGGTTGTGGTAAGGTCAACACCGAAAATGGCATGACCAAAACCTACAGTAATTTTGGGAAGCCAGCTTTGTTCACTAGATTTTCATCTATACTTGTTCTACATTTAGTGCCCTGGCCCAAATCTTGTTACCATCTACCAAACAATTTGTCGTCTCTTTTCAGCAATGACTTCCCAGTGATTTTCGCTATTTGCAGTGTTAGCTCATACTTGCACCTCTAATCCACACTTGACTTGTTTTCCGTGGCCATGCTAAAGTGGTTTAGGTCCGCGCGGCTGTCAATGACCGCATAATGCTTACGCTCGAAGCCTTCTCATCCACAATTAACAATTACCACAGCTAAACGCCACCTAATGAAAAATCACTACTGTCAATGGATGGAAGCCGATGAGAATGATTTGAGGAGCATAAACAAACTCGAAGGCGGAGAGGAAAGGAAGGTGAAAGACGTGGCCATTAATGCAAAACTGGGATTTTTGAAAACTTTGTAAATATGGCCTACAGAGATGTTATTTTGAAACAGGAGCTTGCTTTCAGAATTCATTTCCCTCCCCTCCCCTCCCCCCCCCCTCGCATTGCCCTGTCTTTCTTCGTTTTGGACCACAATCCACGTTACGAACAAATCCTTTCAGAGCACGGAGCCATGTCGAGAAACGTTCTCCGATGCTAAGTTGTGCAATAGCGCTTGCAAGGTAACTTCCTTTTCTTTTTATTTCTTGTTATGTGTACTCATGGACAGCAATGTATCTTATGATATTGTGACGTACTATTGGCCGCCTAGCAAAAACGTCTGAGAGACAGAACGAAATTTATAATTTACAGGACACAACAGGTGGAAGCGCCTTTGAAAAATCTTGTGACTACCTCCAACACATCTACACCGAAAAACCTGGTGCTTGTCCAAAAATCAAAAACCAATCCAATTATGTAAGTTTACAAATATCTTTAAAGCATGTATCCCACTTAAGCCTTATTTTACAGGAATGTACTGCGCTCTGTCATCTAGATGGAGATTGTCCTGAAACCGAAAAGTGCTGTTCCTATGGCTGCAGCAGTCAGTGTGTCTTGCCGAAAGGAAGAGATCCGCGATTGTTGCCAATACCAGGCTCCATCTCTGTCCAAGAACGGAAGAGGAAACGGTAAGTTTTGCTTACTCTTTGATTTTTAGATGACATTATTTTTACAACTTCAGCTCAATTATCATAAGCTGGGTGATGCAAAAGCTCACTCTGGGACAGAATGCTGCCAATTCAAACCTTTATGTGGTGCAGTGGCGGTGGGTCTACACTCTGAAGGCGAAAGTATGACCGAACCGAATGGCAAATGGTCACTGTGGTAAGTAGAATGCAAGTTTGGTATGGGATTTAACACTGTACTATTGATTCTTTTGCAGAGGAACAAGCCATACGCAATACTAAAACATCTGCTTTCCTGGGCGGTACTATGAGTTCCGCGTGGTAGATGTGAGCATCCATGGCAGCCTTGGATTCAGCCAGCCGTCACAGCTCAAGCTCTCCAAAGGTAAGCACAATTCGTGTTCAATCTTTTAATTTCGCTTAGCATACGCTTGTCTTCGTGATTTCCATACCATTGTTTTAGAGGCCCGTGCACCTTCGTCACCTCTTGACATCTCCCTGGGAGTATCCCGACGTACTCCTATAGGTCTATGGAACCAAATAGTGCAATGGACCCCACCCACAAGCGATCATGCACATTATTTTTACAGCTATCCTGGGCTGTGTCGTCACCTTCCGAAGCTAACACATTCGAGTAGATGATGCGACGTCGTGCCACACTTACGACACATGGAAAGCGGAGTCTTGACGAGGAAGAAGAGGCGTGGGGAATCGAGGGGCGGTACGTTTCAGTTTCCTTTTGTTCTGCTGAAGTTTATAGGGTTTCTTAAAGCAAAAATGTTTGCAGGGATAGGCATTCCGTAATTGTGCCAAGCCATACTACTCAGTCGGAATTGTCAGGACTGTTTCCAAACTCTGTCTATATCGTTGAGGTGAATTCTATAGATTTTGTATGAGATCAAATAGCCTAAATATGATTGTGATAATCAGTTTCAAGAATTAGCAGATGCTTGAACTCTTGAGTCTATGTATCCCTCTTTAACCTTTCTTGAAAGATTGTTCATTATACAGCATCTTATCAATCGCCTCACCTCAGTCATCCGGGGGTGCCCCTGGCCAGAATCTGCACATCTTAAATGTTTATATATTTATGTTAAATTTCTCGCCTAGGATAGAGTTGTTACGGGTATTTGTTAAGTTTGTATATAAATATGCATTGAAATGTGATGTATAAGAATAAATCTATCAGTCATTGAATTGGTTAATAGTAAATTGTCTTATCGATCAGTATTGGTCAATATTTCATGACTAGCGCAAGTTTGAAATTTTTTTCGCAAAGTGTCGGCAAATATTTTACGATGTCGACGACCTCATTACTGTAATGACCGACGTTAATGGCTGATAAACGGATAGTGTGATAGTCTGGAAGGGTACGGTACTTGCATGGAAGAAGTTCACGACCCGCTTGACTTTTATTGTTACGCAATTTTAGCTACCCTTGCAGAGGCACTCTATTGTGTGGGAGCAAATACCCGGAAATGTTTGATTATGGCTACCGGCTAAGTTTGGTAGGTAAGAGTTTAGGTGGCCCATTGTGTTGAGTGAGGTGTCCCGCTGAGTTGGCTCCAGCTCGGGCACTGCTCGGCCACGATTCACGCACATTAGCATACATCAATTGAGAAGCAGTGGTGTGCAGTTAGTTAGCAAGAACTTCCGGCGACGGGTTGAGGGCGTGCTTCTTACGTCCGTAGTGGGATGAGAAGGTACATAATTGCAAACTAGTGAGAATGATTTGAGCTCTTTTCATGAAAGACCGCGATCGTCGTCAGCCACCAGGAACATCTTGTTTGAGAAGATTATCGCTCCATTAGCAACATTACATAATTATAGTTCTGACATGCGAAACTGCATACTATGAACAAAAATTAGTCAAAGCTACACTGGGGCATTCTTCTCGCACACTGAGCCAAAACCCAATGTAACAAACGTCTCCGCTGACAAAGCGTTGATTGTTTTATGGGCCCGGTTTGCGTAGGGTCACATTCGGTGGGAAGTGTGGGTGCGGACGCTTGGCGGCGCGTCTGCTTTGATCAACCGGCATCGAAGATGGATGTGCTGAGTGGTGTGATTGACTTCACTCAGGTGCTGTAACGTATTTTAATACACGCGGGTAACTTAGGAGACACTTTTTTAGCGCGTTGTGACTTTCGCAGGGGAACCGAATAATGGCGGCACTGCTAAGGGAGATTTAGCGAGATACCTCCACCAACATAAATTTGAAGCAGCTTGTTTGTCTATGAGTGCTAGCATGCGCACTAGCAAAGAATCAACAACGAAGGGTAGGTACCGTAGCAGCGCTTGAAAGGGCAAAAAGCGAAATTTCTTGAACTCGCAACTTCGAAGTACTTGACCTTGATGTCGCTTGGGTTATTTGGGCAACCAAATAAAAAGCTGCAGAGTGGCTCATAAACACCAGAGCATTTGAACAGTAATTTTGTTGCTAAAAATCAACGATAGTAGTGTGAAAATTTTTGGCATTATTTATTTTTTTATAAATTCCAAGTAAAAAATCGTAGCAAATTCAGCATGTTACAAAAATTTTCAAAAAGTGCCTCTGCTTATCTGCGCTCTCATTTGTATATTAGTTCATCTTGGTCCTTTTACGCAATTTCCGCTACTAGCTTCTACCCCAAAATTTTGCACTTCTCACACTCCAATGCAATCAAGGTATGAAAAAGGCATCTCAAAAACCACTACTTCTAGGAAAAAGAGCTACCGCTGTCGATTGTTGGCGTTCCCATGGCGTCTCGGAAATCTCGGACTAAATCGCCGAAAGCTTTTTAATCCTTCTAAAAGCACATGGCAATAGTAGCCAGTTCCATGTGCCCTTGTATCCACGCCGTACGCTTACACACACGCCATAATTATTCACTCAGCATTTTTTTAGAATTGCAATTGACCGACCGGAAATCCCGATTTCATTGCCCATTGTGGGGCGTTATGGAAAACCGAGTGATGGAATGTTGACTCATGCGTTCTGACTTGCGGCCTTATGGCCACTTTGAAAAAGCTGTACTGCTTTCGGAACGTCGCCAAAATTAAGGATCTTTCTGGCTCTAGGATCATTCGAAGTAAGCTTAGAAAATTGCTATTATAAGTCGGAGCGCCTAGGTGACCTTCACTAGATTCTCATTCGCACCCACTTCATCTCCTGCTTGTTGGGAATCTGTTTCTTAGCAAGACGTTTTTACCAAAGAGTAGGCGATGTATTATTCAGATTCTACGGATTCTTCGAACAATAGTCTAATTAGCATATAGACAAGCCTCAAAATGACTGGTATCCCCAATAAAAATGAATCCTTCAACGACCGTGAGCCACTTGATTTTGGACGGAGCTCAAGGTCATAAAACCATTCATAACTCTTCAGAACAACTGTTACTATTCCAAAGACACCCATGTAGAACCTATTAATTGGTGTAAAAATAACAGACACCACATACCAGCTGCTCGCGTTTACCCAAATGTTAGTTTAAGCTAGCCACTAGCAAGCTGGCAATGACCACTTGTTATATATGTGCAGCTCTACCTGAACAGGTGACTGCACTTCTATCCTTGCCCTTACGATCTCCCACATACCATCCGTGCAAAAATGCTGTGACTAACGTAAACATCGCCACCGGCTTCGAGAATCTACAAACAAAAAAGTGCAGGCCATTAGGTGATGGGTGCGAGCCAGATAGTGATCTTTCACAAACATTACCAGAGAAAGTGTACGAATAAAGGTTAGGGTAACCCCCCATTGAGGGACAAACAAAAATATGTGAAAGACGGACGAGCACGTATATCTGGCTGATATCGTGCTCCTTTCTTTCAGAAATTTTTTGCTTTTTTCATTTTTGATCTTTTATCTAGATATCTAACGTTTTGCGCAGATCAAATGCACGCTTGGGCCGCCGTTTTTCATTACCGGAAACGACGCAGATGCGTGCTCATGTGCTTACGTATTGTTTACGGTATCATGCGATTAATTACGCTATCAAACACCTGACAATTTCTGCAATATTTGACTTCCGAGCTTCACACGACCAGGTAGTGGTTGTGGTCCTTTCTGCGCCGGTCGCAAGTTCAGCCTCTGCTTGTTCTAGTCCAGCTGTCTTCTATCACCTTCAGTTCGCAATTTCGTTGCTTCATAGCGCAGTAAAACACAACGATATGCCCTGGAGGGAACATCATGGCTTTTTGCTGGCCACAATGGAAAGCGAGATTCGCTAACACTTACTGCTGCGAAAAATCGGCTGAGTGGAAAAAAAATACGAATCGAAACTGGATACAAAGAGCTGGAGTGGATGATATTGTTCTCAGTTTGAGTCGTGATTTAGGGGATGTCACGATTTGACTTAACAGGATCTTTACGATTTGAAAAAAAAACGGGGGTGGGGATTAGTGGTTGGTACATTTTGTGCTCTAACCAGCATTGTCATAGCAGACCGGTTTCAGCAAGATTCATGCCTGAAAATATAAAATTCGTCGAAAACTGCTAATTGATGCACACTGGCGAAGTAAATTAGGCGTTAAGCACGCATTTCAGTGCGCGAAGACCGTAAACGCGTGCATAGAACCGTGGACGAGTTCCACTCGTTCAGGACTAGTTTGGATCTGCCCCGGTTGAAGTCGTTAATCAGTCATGCTTATCATGACGATGTGACATAGCGTTTTTGTAGAGATAAGGGAAGAGAGAAGAGAAGTATCATTCTCGATTCACGAAATCTCAGATTTTGTCTTATAATTCACACTAGCTAGCTTACCCGGCTCTGCCGTATGTTCCGAATAGAAAATTCCATTTCTGAACCGATCCGGACCAAACTTGGCGCACATACACTTCGGGCCCCGGCGGGTGTCACAGTCCACTTTTCGTTATCGATCGATGTCGAGAAGTAGCCTATAACACCCGCCGGGGCCCGTAGTGTATGTGTGCCAAGTTTGTCCGGATCGGTTCAGAAATGGAATTTTCTATTTGGAACATACGTACAGACAGACATACAGACATACAGACATACAGACAGACAGACAGACAGACAGACAAACAGACATTCAGCTTTATATATAAGATTACCGAAAAGAACGTTTTTGCTAAAAATATGACAGAAAAAACCTTCTGTTTTCCACTTGAGAAAAGAAGCGGACTTATCTGATGGCGGACTTATCTGTAGGCGGACTTATCTGCAAGACT